TAGTATTGGGGGGAGGCTTGGGCTTGTGATTTAGTATTGGGGAGAGGCCCGGGCTCGTGTTTTAGTATTGGGCGGAGGCTCGGGCTCGTGATTTAGTATTGGGGGGAGGCTCGGGCTCGTGATTTAGTATTTGGGGGAGGCCCGGGCTCGTAATTTAGTATTGGGTAGAGGCTTGGGCTTGTGATTTAGTATTGGGAAGAGGCCCGGGGCCCTGGCCAGGAAATTCCCGAACTTTTAAAACTTTTAAAACTATTAAAACTATTAAAACTATTAAAAAGGCTTCTTTTTAATAGTTTTAATAGTTCGGGAGGCTTTTTAAAAGTTGAAACTATTAAAACTATTAAAACTATTAAAAAGAAGCCTTTCTAATAGTTTTAATAGTTTCAATAGTTTTAAAAGTTTTAATAGTTTCAAAGGTTCAGGAATCTCCTGGCCAAGGCCGTTTCTTTTTAATAGTTTTAATAGTTTCGGAGCCTTTTTAAAAGTTGAAACTATTAAAACTATTAAAACTATTAATACTTAAAAAGGAAAAGGCCTGGCCTGGAGATTCCCGAACTTTTAAAACTATTAAAACTATTAAAACTATTAAAACTATTAAAACTATTAAAACTTAAAAAGGAAAAGGCCTGGCCTGGAGATTCCCGAACTTTTAAAACTTTTAAAACGATTAAAACTATTAAAACTATTAAAAAGGATTCTTTTTAATAGTTTTAATAGTTTGGGAGGCTTTTTAAAAGTTGAAATTATTAAAACTATTAAAACTATTAAAACTATTAAAACTTAAAAAGGAAAAAGCCTGGCCTGGAGATTCCCGAACTTTTAAAACTTTTAAAACTATTAAAACTATTAAAACTAGTAAAACTTTTAAAAAGGCTTCTTTTTAATAGTTTTAATAGTTCGGGAGGCTTTTTAAAAGTTGAAACTATTAAAACTATTAAAACTATTAAAAAGAAGCCATTCTAATAGTTTTAATAGTTTCAATAGTTTTAAAGTTTTAATAGTTTCAAAGGTTCAGGAATCTCCTGGCCAAGGCCGTTTCTTTTTAATAGTTTTAATAGTTTCGGAGCCTTTTTAAAAGTTGAAACTATTAAAACTATTAAAACTATTAAAACTTAAAAAGGAAAAGGCCTGGCCTGGAGATTCCCGAACTTTTAAAACTTTTAAAACTATTAAAACTATTAAAACTATTAAGAAAGCTTCTTTTTAATAGTTTTAATAGTTTGGGAGGCTTTTTAAAAGTTGAAACTATTAAAACTATTAAAACTATTAAAACTTAAAAAGGAAAAGGCCTGGCCTGGAGATTCCGGAACTTTTAAAACTTTTAAAACTATTAAAACTATTAAAAAGGATTCTTTTTAATAGTTTTAATAGTTTGGGAGGCTTTTTAAAAGTTGAAATTATTAAAACTATTAAAACTATTAAAACTTAAAAGGAAAAAGCCTGGCCTGGAGATTCCCGAACTTTTAAAACTTTTAAAACTTTTAAAACTATTAAAACTATTAAAACTATTAAAACTGTTAAAAAGGCTTCTTTTTAAAAGTTTTAATAGTTCGGGAGGCTTTTTAAAAGTTGAAACTATTAAAACTATTAAAAGCCTTTTTAATAGTTTTAATAGTTTTAATAGTTTTAATAGTTTTAATAGTTTTAATAGTTTTAATAGTTTCAAAGGTTCAGGAATCTCCTGGCCAAGGCCGTTTCTTTTTAATAGTTTTAATAGTTTCGGAGGCTTTTTAAAAGTTGAAACTATTAAAACTATTAAAACTATTAAAACTTAAAAAGGAAAAGGCCTGGCCTGGAGATTCCCGAACTTTTAAAACTTTTAAAACTATTAAAACTATTAAAACTATAAAAAAGGATTCTTTTTAATAGTTTTAATAGTTTGGGAGGCTTTTTAAAAGTTGAAATTATTAAAACTATTAAAACTATTAAAAAGGCTTCTTTTTAATAGTTTTAATAGTTCGGGAGGCTTTTTAAAAGTTGAAACTATTAAAACTATTAAAACTATTAAAACTATTAAAAAGGCAAAATTTGGCCAAATCGAGCCGCGCATTTCTCATCGCGTACGACGAGCAGCCCGATTTGGCCAAATTTTGCCCGGAGCCTGCCCGGCAAAATTTGGCCAAATCGAGCCGCGCCTTTCTGGAGGCCCGTAATTATTTCATTGTTTTTTTATTTTTATAATTTACATAATTTAAATAGTTTTGGGCCTCCAGAAAGGCGCGGCTCGATTTGGCCAAATTTTGCCGGGCAGGCTCCGGGCAAAATTTGGCCAAATCGGGCTGCTCTTCGTTATGCGATGAGAAATGCGCGGCTCGATTTGGCCAAATTTTGCCCGGAGGCTGCCCGGCAAAATTTGGCCAAATCGACCCGCGCATTTCTCATCGCGTACGACGAGCAGCCCGATTTGGCCAAATTTTGCCCGGAGCCTGCCCGGCAAAAATTGGCCAAATCGAACCGCGCCTTTCTGGAGGCCGGAAATTGTTTAATTGTTATCGCGTACGACGAGCAGCCCGATTTGGCCAAATTTTGCCCGCAGACTGCCCGGGAAAAATTGGCCAAATCGAGCCGCTAGTTTTTAATAGTTTGGGAGGCTTTTTAAAAGTTGAAATTATTAAAACTATTAAAACTATTAAAACATAAAACGGAAAAAGCCTGGCCTGGAGATTCCTGAACTTTTAAAACTTTCAAAACTATTAAAACTATTAAAAAGGCTTCTTTTTAATAGCTTTAATAGTTCGGGAGGCTTTTTAAAAGTTGAAACTATTAAAACTATTAAAACTATTAAAAAGAAGCCTTTTTAATAGTTTTAATAGTTTTAATAGTTTTAAAAGTTTTAATAGTTTTAAAAGTTCAGGAATCTCCTGGGCAAGGCCGTTTCTTTTTAATAGTTTTAATAGTTTAGGAGGCTTTCTAAAAGTTGAAACTATTAAAACTATTAACACTATTAAAAAGGAACCTTTTTAAAAGTTTTAATAGTTTTAATAGTTTTAAAAGTTTTAATAGTTTCAAAAGTTCAGGAATCTCCTGGCCAAGGCCGTTTCTTTTTAATAGTTTTAATAGTTTGGAAGCCTTTTTAATAGTTGAAACTATTAAAACTATTAAAACTTAAAAAGGAAAAGGCCTGGCCTGGAGATTCCCGAACTTTTAAAACTTTTAAAACTATTAAAACTATTAAAACTATTAAAACTATTAAAACTATTAAAACTATTAAAACTATTAAAAAGGCTTCTTTTTAATAGTTTTAATAGTTCGGGAGGCTTTTTAAAAGTTGAAACTATTAAAACTATTAAAACTATTAAAACTATTAAAAAGAAGCCTTTTTAATAGTTTTAATAGTTTTAATAGTTTTAATAGTGTTAATAGTTTTAATAGTTTTAAAAGTTTTAATAGTTTTAAAAGTTCAGGAATCTCCTGGCCAAGGCCGTTTCTTTTTAATAGTTTTAATAGTTTAGGAGCCTTTTTAAAAGTGTAAACTATTAAAACTATTAAAACTATTAAAACTTAAAAAGGAAAATTAAAGTTTTAATAGTTTAGGATGTTGTTTTGAAAGTTCAAAACTATTAAAACTATTAAAACTTTAATACAGAAAGCAGCCATGTCAAATAGTACATAGAGGTTCCTCTTACATATATATATATATATTTGATTTTTTTTGCCTCATACTTGTTGAAAGCATCAGATCACGAACTTAGAGGTTGGCACACATATTGAGAAGCTTTCTCATGCTGAGACGCATCAAAGGCTTGTTGCGCTGCATCCTGGGCAGACGGCAGATCTGGCAGTGCAGGGCCCAGTTCCTTCGTACAAAACCCACCCAAATGCTAAAGTCGGCGGCCGCAGACCCCCATGTATGGTTGTGCGCTGTGGGTTAGCGGCCTGTTTCCCTGCTCCCCCGCTAATCCCTGAGCTTTAAATCCCTGAAACCCTAAACTCTATAACTTAAAACCCTAAGCCCAAACCTTCAAACCCTAAGCCCCAAGCCCTAAACCCCAAACCCGAAACCGATAACTCTAAACCCTCAACCCTATATATCCCCAAGTCCTACACCCTAAAATCCCGCAGCCCTAAAACCCTAAAAGGGTTTTTGGGTTTTGGGTTTTGGGTTTTGGGTGTTTTCAAGATTTTGTGGGTTTCTGCTGCGGTTTTCCAGGCGTAGAAGGAGCTTTGTCTGGCGCTCCTGCTCAGGCCGCCCACCCTCAGAGTCTGCCGCCCCAAGAAGTGCTGGCGGCACTAGCGCCGCAGGGCACTGCCTGGGAGCTGCGCTACTTAAGGCCGCTTAAACAGCGGAAACAGTGGAGAGAGGGGCGGCAATACTCAGTGTAGAGCAAAGGAAGGATGAGCTGTGCAGGCATGGAGGTGCAGATGGCAGCACGGATTGCGTACTTCATGCGAAGAGTCAAGTAGAAGTGTGTCTCTTGGCTCATTGGTATTATAGGTCTCCCCAAGGTGGGTCACAAGCTTGTCGAAAAGGTGCAAAGGCATGGGTTTGTCAAAGTCGAAGGGGGCCGAGCTTAGAGAGCTTGGGGACCGCAGGCTCCTTGCTGAGCGCGATGGTCTGGAGCACTTGGGAGACCGAGTGCTGCGGCTGACGGCGCGCGCCCCCAGTGTACTGCAGGTGTCGAAGAGCAACTTAGTGGCAGCGAGTGTGAGTTGCGTCCCCAGGCGGAGTTGCGGCCACACAACCTCAGGCAGGCTTTTGCTCTCTGGGTCCCTAGCAGCTTAGCATCGTCCGGCATCATGATCGATGTTTGTCGAAGCTATAGCCCATGTCCTCTGCAGCTGTGGTAGACAATGCGGCACGTTCAACACAGTCAACGTCAGGGAATACTTTCCGTTCATGATTTGACACGGTCGGTTATCTCATAGGCTATGTGCTGGTTCACTAGCTGGTGCGGCTTCATGGTACAGTGCGCAGACGTGCACGGATACGCATGGACATAACAAATGCATGACAGAGCTTAGACCTTGTCACAGCGCCTCGGCATGCAGTTTCTGAAAAGATGGAGCGGATTGGACAAAGCGATGTTGCCACCATCCTGGGTCGACTCCACCAGGAGCTCAAGTCACAGACGCGCGACAGCAAGGCGGAGCAGCACCAGCTCATGCGCAAGGCCTTTCACTACGTCACAGCCTCCCTGCATCAGCCTACGCCGGGAATGGTCGGAGGGGCAGGGAACACCCAGGCCAGGAAGCTGAGTGAAGTGACACACCGGGTGCTCCAGGAGCTCTTTGCCCTCCTGGTCGGTGACAGCGGATTTGCTCCGCCAAGGATCCGAATCTTGAGCTCAGCGCTGGTCCGCGAGCTGTCTTCTGGCGAGGTCCCTTACTTCTTCCGTGATAACTTTGGTGGTAACTTTGACCACTATGATCAGAACAAAGTGGTTTACTTTCTGCCCGTGCTGTCACAGCTGCTGAATGCAGATCTCCTGGTCAAGAATATTCCTAACCTGGTGATGTGGTTTACAAGCGATTCCACGAGCATGAGCCTGAAGACCGCAGCGCTCACAAACCTCCTCGCGGCCGTGCAGCGATTTCCGAATGTCTTGGATCAGGATCAACACATCCGGCCCATGGAATCGCAGTTCTGCAAGCTGCTGACGGGTGCATCATTGGAGACGCGTAAAACCACGTCCACCACCTTGTTTGGGGTACGGATTGTTTCATCCTCGGCGTCGTGCAACGTGACTGAAGTGGACGGCACGCCCACGCGGGATTTCTTCACCTGCATGAACAACTCCTACGACTACTCCGATGATCAGCTCCTCAACGTCCACATCTTCAGCTCCTTGTACTGCTGGCTCTTCTACCTTTACCAGGCGCAGCTCCTGGAGATCCGCAAGCGGCAAAGCAGGGATGACATCGTCTCGAAGCTGGAACACTACGGGCTAGTACACGGTGAGGCTCCCAAGGAGGTACCCTTAAATGAGCTGAAGAAAAGTGACAAGAGTTCATTGATCGGGCACTTCACCTTGGATGAGGAGTTCCGAGAGGTGGTCATAAGCATCTGCCTGCGCATTTTGTCGCAGGTTGAGCTGGACATTGTCCGTGACGGCCCGCAGCAGATGAGGCTGGGTGCACGGTATGTTATCTCAGAGTTGGATTGGATGAGGGAGTTTATTGAGGGTGTGTCCATGGAAGCTGTGCGGATATTGGACCTGCTTTGTCTGATGGATCCGTCGCTGGTGACGCGAATCTTCCCGGCCGTGAAGAAAGTCTACGAGCGAACTGCGAATCGGCAAAGCGGAGTTGTGTTTGCTGCAGTTCTACAGTTCTTCGTAAACCACGGGCAGCATGTGATCTTCGACGTGGATCCTGTGTTGCACCACTTCTTTGAGGATTACGTCTCTGTGCGCTACAGACAGCAGCTTCTGGCCATGAGCACACTGCTCTTCCTTACCACAAACACCTCCAAGATGCTGTTGCACACTCCCGTGTTCCCAAAGTACTACCCGGCCATCATCAAGCTGCTGGTTTGGCACCCCCGCACGCTGGCCGAGGAGGTCTTGCCCATCGTTCCTGCCATGGTGGGCCCGAGCTCCTTCGCGGAGCTCTTTCACACCCTCCTGGATCTTCCCTTGACGGCGGCCTTCATGGAGCAGTACGAGAGGCCAGATGAGCATTCGGATGGGCAGATGACCCGGCTTGGCCTTGACAGGACTCCACCGTTTAAGACCGTTCACCAGTACATCATGCGGAACCAAGCTGGGGGTGCGTGCATCTGGGAAGCTCGAGATGAAGCACAGCTGAGCATGATCCGCGTCTTGTGGAACTCCCTGCCCGTGACGCCTCGCGTCTCGAGCGTCTGCAAGCTGGTGCCTCGCTTCCTGCGAGTTTATTTTGATGTGCTACTCAGCAACGCGCCACCGGAATGCATCGAGAGGGTCGTGCCACTGCTCCTGCAGCGCTTTGCCTCGCTCTATCCCGTGGACTTCTTCCTAAACTCCGTGCACACACTCATCATCGACACGCTGCAGGCCATCTTCCAGCAGTGGCCGGCCTTCCTCATGTCGCTCAAGCGGGAGGTCGTTCACGCAATCTCCACCCACCTGGATGTGCAAGGAAGGCTCTTGGTGCTCCACCTTTGTTGGATCATTGGAGAGCTGCTCCGGCCGCCGCTGTACGAGAATGGGGGACGGGGAGGTGTGGCCATGTTCTTCGAGGCCCTGGAGACCCTCGCTTATCAGGCCATCTCAGTCCGCGTGCCGGAGCCAGAGGAGGCGGCCAAAGAGCCCAAGGTCTCAGAGAGCCGGGAGCCCGAGAAGGGCCCCGGCCCCACGGGGAGCCAGGAGGATGAAGGCGCCGAGGAGGGCGACCATTCGCCCGAGGTCGTCAAGGTGGAGTTCGCCGTGGAGGAGATCTTCTCACCGCGCTTCGTGGCCGTCATCACTGCATCTTTGACAAAGCTTGGGACAAAGTTTCCCGAGTTTGCCCCTCGTGTTGTTCTCTGCCTGCTTAAGATGCAGCAGCACTACGCTACCGACTTCAGTGACGGTGTTGAGTTCGTAAGAGACCGGCTGGCTGACTCCCTGCAGCTTCTCCGACACTCTGCGATCTCTAGCTCAGTTTACAGCTCCTCGACATTCCTGGGCTTCGAGACCGATCGAGCCCTTTCCTCTGTCTCCGCCTTGTCATCTTTGGGCCACCTCTCCCATGACCCCTCCACATCTGGTGCAGCCTTACATGACTTCGAGCTACCGTACCAGCCGCCCATCGCCGCCGCTGCAGACGACCGATTGCTGGCCTGGACCCCGCTTGGTGCCCCGAAGAGTCAAGACGTCAGAAGAGCGTGAAGCTGTTCTTGGCCGGAGAAAGTCTATGAGAGAGCACGCCACTGGGTCGGGTTGGCTGCACAGGCTGGACAAAGTACTCGTAGTATGGTTCAGTTTCAGACGTGGGTCCAGTTCCATTTTTGGTTGCAGCGAGGCTGGTAGCCTGCTGGCCGCTTTAATTACGAGTTCTGCTTGTGCGGAGGCCAACGCTTGAGCAATCCCGCTCCGATCGACACGAGGACTGCTAGTTGCTGTGCCGCAATGTTTCCTTCTTCGATATGAGTAGGGGAGTAGGTCTTGTCGAATAGGTTGTAGAAAACTCATCGCTTGGCGCGACACTGTGTGGGCTGTGAGAGTGCTCGAAGCAGGAGGCCTTGCGGCCAGCTCTTAGCTCGTGCCTCGAGGCGCGTGAGCAAAAATTGTGAGCAACCCTTTCACTCCCTTTCAAGCCGGAGTGTTGCAAAGCTGCTTTGATGAACGCAGACCTTTCTCAGGTGGCCTGGGCTGCAGGCGCAAGGGATGCAACATCGGCGGCGCTGCTCATGTGCGGGCGCTCAGCACACGGATAGCAACGCATGTGGCGCCTCGTGCGCACTTCAGCAGGGCTCGATTGTCGCTTGCGTTGCCAGGCTTGGACATCCAGAGGAGGCGAGCTAGATGCGGGGAATGTGACGTGTGCATCTGAATGTCTACTGTACGTCGGCGAAGGGAGTTGCGCAGGCGACAGTCTCGCAACTGCAGCGCCATTGCAAAGTGCCAGTCAGTGACGCTGCAACTGCTTCCCTTTTGAGGCTTTCCGCCTCCAGCTCTTTGAGATCGGGAGCGTTGAGGGAGCCTTGCATGTGCTAGCAGAGGCACGTTTGACATGTGATCTGGTCGATCTACATGGCCTCCGACTGCTTTGGGGGTGCGGG